CGAGAGGAGGGGCGGCGGGATTGGGAATGAAGAAGAAATCGGGGGGCGGCTAGGGTAGAAGAAAGAAGAAGAAAGAAGAAGAAAGAAGGAACTTGGGCTAGGGTTTTTTTTCCTTTTTGTTTTCTTTCTTTTTCCCTTTGTTTTAAAACCAAATTAACCCAATGGAGGCCCAACAAGTCCAAGCCCCAAAAGATAAGAAATCTACCCCTTCTTAAACAAGACCCACCACATGGGGTTCGGTAAATATTAATTTAATTGGATTTTTAGAGCCCGATAAATATAGATAAATTTAATTAACAATCACTTTAAAATTAAATGAAAAATCTCCTGATTCGAGACTAACTAACCTGAGGGACTCAGGGCGTTACATGGGTTCCAAAATCTATGCTTCCTAACAATTAAGGACCCAAGAAATGGGTACCAAGATTTTTTGGTTGAGCTTTATTTTTGTTGGTATGTTTCAAGAAGCAAATGGTTGCTTGGACTTTAAATTGAGAAACTAATTCAAATTTGTCAACTATTATAGCTTGCTTGAATACATCGAAGGAGAAAGAATTTTTCGGTATCTTTAAATTATTATTTTTGTTGAGATTATTATCATGCTATTGATATACTTTATAGAAAATTTATCTCTTTTATGGGTTAGAAAAGATTGAATTGGTCTATTGAAATTTTATTGTTAGATTAAGATTAAATGTCCTTGAGTACATTGGAAATATTTTTGGCCTTAATTCATGAATTAGTGAATTAATACTCTTAAAAGTATGTGGTAGATTTTGTTGAGATTTATCCATAATCCTTATTTGTTATTGCTATTGGATTATTGTTTTTTATTGTTGATGTTTATCAAATTGATTGATTTGTAAATTTATCCAAATTTCTTGATTCTTTGATAAATTTAAAGTCTTGAATTTTTGGTCAATTAGATGATTGTTATTTTGATAATTATGGTCATTGATAGTTTGATATATTTTATTTGAACAAGTTTGTTTTATTGAGTTTTATATCTTTTACATGAGAATCTTCTTTGGATGAGATTGACAAAATTTTGATTGAATGCTTTTTGGCCATAAACTATGTGCTCTCTATGAAAATTAATTTCAAAATTTTACTCATTGTTGAAAATTTTTTGTTTTAAAATTTTGTTTAAAAAGAGTTGTTGAATGCATTTTCATAGGGGAGCATTTATGAAATACGTTTTTCTAAAAATTTCATTAACTTGTTGCTCAAAAGAGTTTAATTGATTTTTGTAATTTTTTTTGTCTATATTTGTTTGATATTTTTTTTATGGTGACATAAATCAAATTAAACCTATGATCAAGTACATTTGGTATCAGTGTTTGTTTGGTTAATATTTTTATGATGTCATTTACTTATATTTAATTTGTAAATTTTTTTTTTGTGGCATAATTGGTGATATTGTTATTTTGACAAATTGATATCCATGTTGGTTTTTTGTTATCAATTAGTGTTTATTTCTAACATTTGATATTTTTGTATCATGATGGTGTCTTAAATCTTGCATCGATTTGTTGTTAATTTCTTTTGTTAGATAAGTTGATAAGTTAAATTGAGAGTATCTTTCATGTATGTGATTTATTTTGTTTAATCATGATAATTAAAATTGTTCTCTTTGGAATTATACTTGTCTTATGCTATATTTTCTTGTATCAAAATTTTGTGGAATATTTTGATAATTTGTTTAAGATAGATTGATATACCATGATTTGTTTTTAATATATCTATCTTGTGCAAATTGTTAAGATAATTTTTGCTTGTATCCCTTTATCTCCTTGATATTTATTGATATGTTTTTTTAAGAGGAGAATGCATATCTTTAGGGGGAGTTATAATACTTCATTTGTGAATGTGATGAAATTGTTTCTACATATTGCTTTTTATTGTTTATGTGATTTTTTAAGAATATGTATAGTAAATTTGAAATTGAGTATGTTGAGAGAACTTACTCACGTTGTTCAAGTTCAATAAAGTTAAAATTTCAAAAACTTCCTTCAGCACCTCCATTAAGCTTGACAATGATGAAAAAGGTGAATATGTTTTTGTTAAAGCTTATTGAGATATGTTGGAACTTTACCCCTCCTATGCATATCGTTTATCTATTTAGGAGGAGTAACTATTCATTGAAGTAAAAATTATCTTATAATTTCTTATTTATGATGTCTTTTATTTTTCTTGCTAATTTTTAAATTAAGAAGGCATCTTGATAGGGGGAGTTTTATAAAAAGCATGTGTTAAATGCCTTTTTGTCCTTTATTCAGGAGTAGCTTTCATGTTCCTTATTTATTTTTCTTAATTATCCTTTTTGATTGATTCCAAAAGGGGGAGAGATATTAAGAAAAATGAATGGTCTTTTGAGAAATTATGTTACGATTAAATTTATGCTTGCCTTTATTATGCTTCATGTTATCTCACACACCACCTTGATTACGTTTTTCTCAAGTGGTTTGTCATCATCAAAAAGGGGGAGATTGTTGGCTTTTTTGCCCTTAATCTCGGTTAATTAGTTTAATTAATTAATGCTTTGATGATAACAAGCATACTTAGTA